GCCGCTCGGTCCAACTTGCTGACGCACCACTAATAGTAGTCATAATGAGAAGGATAGTGAGAATACAACATGGAATGAGAATACCCTAAACCCAAAACCCTAAAACCCTAAAACCTCAACCCTAAAACCCTAAACCCTATCCTAAACGCTACCCTAATCTATGCATTCACAGCTGGCCTTTGTCCCTGGGCCCTGGCTCTCTGCGCGCTCGTCTGTTCCCTTTGGCGAGGCCTGGACCCAAGGCCGAAGGGTTAAAGGGGTTTAGGGCTTAAAGGGTTCAGGGTTTAGGGTTTAGGCTCAAAGGGTTTAGGGTTTAGGGCTTGAAGGGGCTTACCTGAACCCCAACAGTAGGTAAAATTAGAGGCCCCAAACCCGTTTAACTGAAACAAAAGGCTCAAATTCTGTACACCTTACGCGTTCTGGTAGAGCTTGCAATAGGGTATTGGATTGAAGGCTTGTACATAAACCCTTGGCAAACCAGGGACACCTGATGTTTTGGAAAGTTTGGGGTTTTTAATTTTGGCTAAGAGAGACTCCAAATGTTAGGGAACAGTACATCACCTTGAGGTCTCTTCGGTCTAGCCCATACATAGTTACACAGGATGATGGTAGATCTACAGGCTTCTACTACTCTACCCACAGTGTCTGCGGCCAGGACGCCAGAATGTCGATGCTTTCTTGAATTCGGAAGACAATAAACGCGCCACTAAAGGTGCCGGGCTCAGGGGACATTATCACTGTAGTATCTCCACATATCTCCACATACTTCCTAGGAAGAATCCTCACGATCTCTACCCTGTAAACCCCCATGCACAACAAACAACTATATGAGAAACCCCTGGACACCTACAATACTCATGTCCAGGACACAAGGTTTAGAACAACGGGCCCGTAAGTTTGGGCCATCCGTCCTCAAATTCATACCCTGAACCCTTACGGCGCTCTTAGGGTTTAGGGAGTCAAACGGCCCAGGAGACTGGCCCAAGCCTTCGACCTCTGAACTCTACACCCTAAATTAGTAAAATTCGAGCTTAGGGTTTAGTCGCAACCCCTCATCCCTCAACCCTGACCCTAAACACGCAGGACCATTTTCCCAACCTTATACCTACATTGGTTTTCAACGTTTACACCCGAGCTTGTCCTAGACTCATCCTTCAAGGGGTACACAAGGTCTAGGGGTAGGGTTTGCTCGTTTTTGGGGTAATGCGGTGTAGAGTGTAGGGTTTAGAATATGGAGTTTTGGCTTTGGGGTTCAGGGTATAGGGTTTCGGGTACCGACCTGCGGCTTCGAGCTTGTGGGTGTAGGGAGGAGGGCGTCGGCTTTAGGGTTCAGAATTTGGAGCCCTAAACCCCTAAACCCTATGTAGTTAGGGTACATGGTAAACTCTAGCTACTGATCCACCACCTGCACAATCTCAACTCCTCATACAGTATAGTCAAACGCCAGGCAGAAGAAAAAGACCTGCAACAAAACTTGCTTCCTTGAAGTCAAGCAAGATGGAGCCTATCCAGAAGAAAAAAAAGCTATACGTGTATATATATATATATACAGTCTTCGAGGAATGCTTTATCCTCTCCTGTCTCTGCCATGTCTTGGGGTCCGCTATTGAGAAGCCCTAGCTGCGCTAAACTCCAAAACTACATGGGTACGTTCCAGATGGATATGTATATACATGACATATATGCATAATCTCTCACATGATCCCTAGGGCTCCATGTCTATAAATAATACCTACATTGGGTCCAGAGTCTATAAATATGACCTACATTGGGCTATTTGGAGCCTTAGGGTAAGTACCCAACTAGTCCCTAAACCCTAAACCCCAAACCCTAAACCCTAGCACCTAAATTCTATTTGGAGCCTTAGGGGATGGAAGCATATACTCGCTTTACAGGTACCATGCGTTAATCAGGCACCAGTATTCGGCAGCAGCTGCACTGTGAATTCTTCACCCAACCCAAGCCCTGAGCCCCAAATCCTCGGTTTAGGGTTTAGGGCTCAATCCAGGACAAAACACAAAGCTCCCATACACCCAATACCTTAACCCAAACCTAAAACCCAACACCCAAGCCCAAACCCTAAACCCTGAACCCTAAACCCTCAAACCCAACCCTAAGCCTAAACCCTGGTGGCGCCTTTGGCTTGGACCACCACGGGCACTGCTTCAGCAACCGGAGGCATGCGGAGAGCCTCCTTCATATGAACCCCGGACTACATTATGAAGCCTAACTAGTAATTAGGGATTATACAAAATATATAAGAGATACATACATATATATATATATACATATGTATGGGGAAGATACCCCAAAAAGGGGCCATGTAGGGTTTGGGGTCCAGCATGTAAGTTTTAGGGTTTAGGGTTCCGGCCTTATGGACATCCCTATATAACCCTTATTAGGATTCGGAGTACCTATCCTTATCGGGCCCCCCAATGGTGGCACTAATCTAATCTAATCTAGACCTTAAATAAGGAGTGCTCAAACCAGGGGGGGGGAGGGGGTTAGGATTCAAGGTGTAGGGTTTCGGGTTTGGGGTCTAGGGTTCAGGGTTTAAAGGGTATTGTTGTTTTTGGATTATGCAGCTTTGGTGTCTTTAAGGAACTGATTGGGCTTTCAGGGACCCCGTAGTGCTTGTCTTGTGGAAATCAGGGTTTGTGTGATCTAGCATTTCCTCTTTTCTAAATGGTAGTTTCCCGAAATACAGGGACCCCAATATAGACCCTAATATACTATAGTCCTTACTAGAGGGACCCCCCAAGAAGGTGCCCCTAATTATGGCAAACCCCCAAACAAGTTTTAAACCTGAAAGTCTTAAGCGGTCACTTCTCTGGAGCACTTTCCAAGCGGCTTGTGCTATGACAGTAGACGCAGTGTAATGTAGACCCATGATTAATACAAGGGTTATAAAGGGGTTATGTTGGGATAATGGAAAAGAAAATGGAAGCTACTATTTCGGGTTTAGGGTTTAAGTTTGAATGTAGACCCATGATTAATAAACGCCCTCCTCCCAAGGGCCTTAATATAAGGATCCCTATTATAATCCCTATTTAGGGGAGGGGGTTTATTAATCAGGGGTCTACATTAGCATCTGGAAGTCGTCCCGCTTCCTGCATCTACTGCTGTAGACCAGCACCTTGGGATCAACGGCTCAAAGTCTGTAAATGCACCTTTCGGGTGGACGGTGTGTAAGCGACAGTCAGGTGGGAGTCTTTGCAATCCTGGCGTGACTGCATGTCGTACAGTTGCTGCCATAGATCCTCGAGAGACTGCTCGACTTCCTCCCGTGGTATGAAGTCTCGTGAGTGGATGCCTTCTTCCTTGTGCACCCTGTGGGTGCAGACTGCGTGCGAGCCCTTGCAGGCAAATGTTGGAGACAAAGGGCGTGGAGATTAAACAGAAAATTAAGAAATAAACAGGGCCCAGAGCAGATCACACGCTACAAGATCCGTGCCGCGGGAAATCAGGGAATATCATGCTTATATAGCACCTTTATAATTTTTCCCTTATTCCATACTAATCCCCCAGTGAGAGGAGGGGGAGAGAGAGGGAGAGAGAGGGAGAGAGAGAGAGCGATGCAAGAAGTGAGAACTCAGACTGTCGAACTGCCTACGGTAGAAGCTTGAATACTACCGATACCCATGTGAGGTCAATTCGCGATACCCTTTACCACAAGTATACTAGGAACTAGACAATATACCGTTGGCAAATATTTGGATCTCATAACTCCTAAACCCTAAACCCTTAAACGTAGAAAGTATTACAGGAAACACCAGCCCAAACTCTAATTCTTTTTGTATTTCAAAGCCTATCAAACAAGCAACTTGACAAGGCCTCTGGGAGTTAGGGTTAGGGTTTGGGGACATTGAAGGAGGTGGCTCGCATGTCCAATCTAAGGCTTGCGCACGTGTGGGAGTTTCTCCAAACGGTTGGGCGTCTGGGTGGTTTTTGAGAGTCCTTAAGGGTTTAGGAGTTAGTGTTTTCGTTTTTATAGCTCTTGTTTCCGCGGGCAGGGTTTAGGGTTTAGGGTCCAGAGTCCTAATTTAGATGGATGACCCCCCAAAGCGATTTTTTACTTAGCGGTTTACTAGTAATTTAGGTAGCTGCTCATATGTATATATGTATAATATACATATATACACAAGTAGTTATATAGGATAAATAGGCCATCTGTATATCTATATATATGTATATACATATATATAGATATACAGANNATGGCCTATTTATCCTATATAACTATTTGTATATATATATACTATACATATATACATATGAACATATCCCCCAACCATGCCGCATCAAACCTCTCTAGGAACTGAAGGATGCAACGCTAGGGTGTACAAAGCCTCGAGCCCGCTATCCAGGCAACTGGAGCTTCACCGCAGGGATGCCCATGTTGTGAACTACAAGGAATCCAAGGTGCAACCCTAAACCCTAAATAGCCTCGAGCTTGGTTTTCTGGCCGGGTGCCATCTGCGGGGTGATGATGTCTTTGAAGGCCAGCACTGATCCATCCCAAAGTCGCTGCATCCAGCTATCCTTGCATGGCCTGTACCGGGGGAAGTCCTTCTCATCATGCTTGGCACCCTGGCGCTTGATCTGCAAATCTGCGCCCGTGCTCGCATCAGCCTTGCGCTTCTGACTGACTCTGGTGCTCGGGGCTTCCGAGGTTTTCGCTTCCGTCATGGCCTTGGTCTGCTTGGCCTTGGGCTTATCTGGCTCGTTCTCAGCAGCATTCGCTGCCCCCTTGCTCCTTTTGCGATTGCCAGCGCTGCTGTCAACATCTGGCTTGACCTTCTTCGGTCGACCATCCTTGTTGTTTGGCTTCTCAGCTGGGTCGGCCTTATGTAACCCCAGTTAGGGTTTAGGGTTTAGGCTTTAAGGTTTAGGGGTATCCCCAGAAGCATCATTGGCTCCCCGACCCCCCCTCCGACCCCCCCCCGACCCCCCCCCCCGACCCCCCACCCGACTTACCCCCCAAGGCTTCCCCTTGATTCAAATTATTTGGGGGGCAATAATGAACGCAAACTAAGGCGGAACCGCGGGGGGCGCGGGTAGCAAGGGAGCAGTAGGGCAGCCATGTTCTGAAACCTCAACATCCCCCCAAACACAAACCCGATTTCTCTCTAACCCTAAACCCCTGAACTCTAAAACCTAAGCTCTAAGCCCTAAATCCTAAACTCTACACCCTGAACTTTAAGCCCTACACCCTGAACTCTAAATCCTAAACCATAAATCCTAAATGAACCCTAGGTAAGCCCACAACCAACCAGGCCAGAGCCTCCCCGGCGTCTCGCGTGCTGAATCTGCATGCTGATCCTGATGTTCATCCCGTCCCTTTCTACTGGGTTGCTGTTAAGGAACTTAAAATAAGTTACTATATTGGGGAAACCCATAATGGGGTGTAGGGTTTAGGGTTTAGGTTACTATATTGGGGAAACCCTATGATTTACTATATATACCCATTATGGTCACTAATTTAAGTTCCTTAACAGCAACCCAGCCTACTGTGTGGGTCGGATTACAAAAGGGGGCCGTATTAGAGCTAAATCAGGCCTGAATGGAATAATATAAAGGGGGTCGTGTTAGAGCTAAATCCGGGCTGAACGGATTCATAACAACATAGAAACGGAATAGTGCATGCTAGCTTCAAACCAATTGAAATTTAATTAGAATTCTACATATTAGGGTGGGTTTTAATATCCGGGGAACCCTAAACCCTAAACCCTAAACCCTAAAACCCTAAACCCTAAACCCTAAACCCTAAACCCTAAAAACCCTAAACCCTAAAACCCTAAAACCCTAATATTAATATCTAATTGTATATATCCCGAACCTTGGGCCCGAGGGCTTAGGGCGTAGTGTTTAGGGTTTATGGCTTCCTCTGGGATCCCCCACCAAACAAGTTTTCCCATACTTGATTGGGGGCCCCCCGGATTATTCAGATCCGTACTTGTTTGGAGGGGGGGGGGGGGTTATAATCAGAACGCCCCATTAAGCCCCCAGGTTATTTATGTAGGGACTAAATAAGGGTTTAGGGTTTAGTTCCTAAACCCTAAGTTACTTGGGGATTATGTGGAATTAGATGGGGATTACAGTTTAGGGTTTAGGGTTGCCGTTCCTGAGTCCTAGGTTATATGGGAATCCTGTAAGCTTATATGCGGTTATGCACATATAGCAGTGAATGGAAAAGTAAATGGCAACTACTGCTTGGAGGCTCCCCTGACTTCGGAAATCTACTTTTCGTCGCACGGGCTAAGGGGCTTTTGATGGGCTCATTCAGGATAGTAGGTAGACTTACCCTAAACCCTAAGCCCTAAAACACACAACGCTCATCCGTAGAGTCCAGGGTTTATGGGCCGGGGGCTCCGATGGAACCAGTCATACCTCTTTAGTCTATATATACGTACATACATTCATATACGTGTAATATATCCCAATAGGGCCTCCCTTCTTGCTATATATATATATACATATATTATATACATGTACTTATCTATCCCTACAGTTCAGGGTTGAGTAGTCTCCAGGTAAGGTTTTGTAGGGCTTGGCATCAGCAAGCCCCCGACCCGCACTAACTCCCACTCGGGAATTCTGCCCGTCGATCATTGACATGTGATTGAACGCAGTGAGAACCGGAAGCATCAAATGATAGAGGGTGAGGTGTTCTATATAGCAGGTAGAAACTGCTGGTGTAGCAGTCTAGCAGGCATAAATTGCTGGCTTAGAGGTCTGCTGGTGGGGGTTAGTGTTGAAGCTTAGATTGGAGCTTCATGCTTTAGGAGATGCGGGAAAGTCAGGAACTGCACAACGGTCCATTTGATGCAGGACATCATCCAACTGTGGAAAAATGATACATATGTACCTAGGGTCACCCGATGGTGCGTGATCTAGGGTCATAGGAAAATTCAGAAACAGCAACTCGTCCATATTGGATAGTTGCGCTTCAGAACCTCGAACAAGCTCTCCGAGATTATCAGAACCCCATCCATCTTGCGACTAACCCCGCAAACTATACCTTGAGCGAGGGTGTACACCCTCGCTCAAGGTATAGTTTGCGGGGTTACTCGCAAGATGGATGGGGTTCTGATAATCTCGGAGAGCTTGTTCGAGGTTCTGAAGCGCAACTATCCAATATGGACGAGTTGCTGTTTCTGAATTTTCCTATGACCCTAGATTACGCACCATCGGGTGACCCTAGGTACATATGTATCATTCTTCCACAGTTGGATGATGTCCTGCATCAAATGGACCGTTGTGCAGTTCCTGACTTTCCCGCCCTACGTAAACCCTAACTAACTAATCCGTTATACAACCCCTTACTGCAAGGACTTTAGACTATAGTACAAAAAACCTAAACCCTAAACCCAAACCCCATCAGCAATTTGATAAGTTTATCCTGTTGTCATTGAGGCCCCAGTCTGCTACAAACCCGGTTTGGGGGTTTAGGTTTTAGGGTTTAGGGCCCTCAACCATAAACCAAAACCCCTAAATAGTAGTTTCCATGTTCCTTTCCACTATCCCAAAATAGCCCCAGTGTAGCCCTAATATGAAACCCTAAAACCCCAAGCCCTAAACGCTTTAGCACATGTCTAGAACCTGAGAAACCCAAACCCTGAAGACCCCGACACTCCAACCCTACAAGCCTTCACTAATGGATTCTCTACAATGCCTTTCTATACTGCCACCCTTCCCCCTAACTTAAGGTTATTTAGGGAGCACAACGAACTAATCTAGAGATGAAGTGCAAGGTAGCAGCGGCACCCATGATCAACGAGAAGACTTTGGTGGCCCCAGCTGCTAGCAGCTATGATACGGACCCTAAAAGAATCATATGAGCTATGGTCAATATCACCCAGGTAATTAATGGACATGGGTGCCTTATTAAGGACTATATTAGGGACTGAAACTACAAGCGGGACCCCTAGGTCCACTCTTGAGGGCCCCTTAATAACGCTAAAATTGACCGTAGCTCAATAGAATAATCATCAAGTCCTTACGTTGCTGGGTGGCAAAACAAAAGCCCTCTCTAAGTCCCTACTTGGAGGGTCAAGGGACTTTGTAAGTAGGTTAATAAGGGGGATAACTGGGGTTACTATATGGGTCATAGGGGTTATCAACCTACTTACTATGTCCCCCTGACACTCCAAGTAGATGTTGTTCAACAAATGTCCATTGCATGCCCCCCTTACATTGTCCATTGGATTCTCCATGAGACCGGGATCCTCCTAATAAACCTTGGGGCTATATAGGGATTATAGGGTGTATATATGTATATATAGGGGCTAAATGGGGATGATGGAAAAGAGAATGAAAACTGCTGTAATATAATAGGGGATATATAGGAGTTATACACCCGACACGTCCCTGCGTAATCCCTCTACAACCCTGATGAATCCTGAGCACCTGGCCATTGGTGGCCCACATGGACGGTAATGTGACCCAGTACGTAGTTAGTAAGAATGATTGTCGGGGCCATCTGCAAATTTGCCTTGAAGGGTTTCTAAATATACTTGCTAAGTTTCCTTCCCTTTCGAGTAGAACTTTCACGACGTGTAGTATGCGTCTACTGTTCAAGGTTCGGGGCTTAGGCTCTAGGCCTTGAATCTTGAATTTATACGCTGAGTCCTCGACAGTAGACACCAAAAGCCTAAATCTGAATCAAATCCCGAACACCCTAACTCCCTAACGCTAATGTAGCGCCTCTCCGTCCGGCAGGCAGCGTGCAGAGCGGCCAAAGCGCATTTTACTCAGGCTTCAAGACTGGAGTTTCAAGGGGGTTTAGGTTTAGGGACTGGGAATTTACCGTTCTGGGTGGAGTCCAGGAGTTCAGGCGGTATTTCTATTTCGGATTGGTATGGGGCTACAATCCTCCTGACTAGCTTTGTAGTTTGTACGGAGTAATCTACATATTGTACGCCCATGACTGGGGCTCCATGTTCACAATTTGGGCAACGTCCAGGCTTTCGGATCATTTATAGGGTTGATAGTTTTTGGAAGCGCAGGTATATATATATAT